GTCCATCCATCCATCCATCCACCCACCCATCCACCCATCCATCCACCCACCCATCCATCCATCCATCCATCCATCCATCCATAGATCCATCCTTACTAAATATTTCATGTTGCTGTTCATTCATCCTCCACTGCTCACACTCATGTTTGAGCTGCTGTTGTTAAGCACATTGTTTTTGCACTATTAGTGCTTAATGTATTCTTAGTTTAGTGTATTCTTAGTTTAGTGTATTCTTAGTTTAGTGTATTCTTAGTTTAGTGTATTCTTAGTTCACGTCTCGGATCTTTCTACTCTTTTTCTTTACAATTTGTATCTTTGTTGGATGTAACTGGGACCGTATGTACATAGTTTCGTTCCACCTCATGCACCACACGTGATGTGAATGACAATAACAAAAACCTTGAATATTTATAAATCATATATATATACTTACTAAATGTATATATTCTAATTATACATTATATACAGGTGCTGGTCATAAAATTAGAATACCATGAAAAAGTTGATTTATTTCAGTAAATCCGTTCAAATGGTGAAACTTGAATTCATTAAAAAATATCTCAATTTATGCATCCCTTATGATTATGATTGTCTATTATTGTCTTTGTTGTCCACTGTTGTCATCACTCTGTTAAAATCAGGTCTCTCTTGTAAATGAGTCCCCCAGGCTCAGTGGGATTAACCTGTAGAAATAAAGGATGAATTAATTCATTACACACAGACTGATATATTTCAAATGTTAATTTCTTTAATGTTGATGATTATAACCGACAGCTAATGAAAACCCCAAATTCAGTATCTCAGAAAATTAGAATGTTACTTAAGACCAATAAAAAAAGATTTTTAGAAATGTTGGCCAACTGCAAAGTATGAAAATGAAAAGTATGAGCATGTTCAGCATCAGTACTTAGTTGTTGCTCCTTTTGTCTGGATTACTGCAGCAGTGCAGCGTGTCATGGAGTCCATCAGTCTGTGGCTCTGCTCAGGTGTTATGAGTCCAGGTTGCTCTGATCGTGGCCTTCAGCTCTTCTGAATTGTTGGGTCTGGTGCATCACATCTTCCTCTTCACACTACCTTATAGATCGTCTATGGGGTTAAGGTCAGGTGAGTTTGTTGGCCAGTTAAAAACAGGGATACCATGGTCCGTAAACCAGGTACTGGTAACTTTGGCACTGTGTGCAGGTGCCAAGTCCTGTTGGAAAATGAAATCTGCATCTCCATAAAGTTGGTCAGCAGCAGGAAACTTCCTGGTAGACTGCTACATTGACCTTTGACCTCAGAAAACAGTGGACCAACACCAGCAGATGACATGGCAACCCAAACCATAACAGACTGTGGAAACTTGACACTGGACCTCAAGCAGCGTGGATTCTGAGCCTCTCCTCTTCCTCCAGAGTCTGGGACCTTGATTTCCAAAGGAAATGCAAAACGTGCTTTCATCAGAGAACAGAACTTCAGACATGTCATCTGCTGGTGCTGGTCCACTGTGTTTTCTGAGGTCCAACGTCAGCTCAGCCGTCTACCAGGAAGTTGTAGAGCACGTCATGTTTCCTGCTGCTGACCAACTTTATGGAGAGGCAGATTTCATTTTCCAACAGGACTTGGCACCTGCACACAGTGCCAAAGCTACCAGTACCTGACTAAAAAAGTTAAATCTGGTCCTCTGGACATTCAAAAAAACAAAACAAAACCAAAAAATGTAGAAACGTTTCGTCTCTCATCCGAGAGACTTCCTCAGTCTGAGGTGCTGTATTCAGCTCAGTCTCTTAAATAGCACCTTCTCAGAGTGGATCAACT